CAGCCATACCAGCTGCATTCAATGATCATGGTGACCAAGGCTCTTGGATGACGGGTATCCGACTTCCTAGCCTCAACAAGAGCTTTCATGTAGTCATATTTGCAGGACGTGCTCCAGATGTTGTAGACTGGAGTGGGGAAAGGAGTGCATGTGGAGAGCACGTAGCTGCAAAGCAGCCGGCACAGTCTCCCGTTGCCGTCTCCAAATGGATGCAAGTCAAGCATCTCAAACACCAGCCAACCACAAGCTTTGTACAGCTTACAGAGCCGCTGTGCTTTATCTTCATGTTCATCATTCTGTGTTTCTGGATTGTTTGTCTCTTCAAAGAGAGAGTTAAATTTTCCTAAAATTCTAGTAACGGCAATTTGCATGTTATCTGGATTCTGATAGTAATAACGCTCTTCTTCAAAGTCTATAAAACGACGCCCGGTACTGTATTTCCCCGGCTCAGTGCAGCCTTGTCGTGTGGTAGCACTTTTGAGGATGATTTTGTTAGCTTCCTGAAACATGGATTCCTCAATCAACCAACGGTTATCTTGTTTTTTCTGCGCGGAGCTTTGATGTCAAGCAAGTATCTGTAGGCCTTTTTCAAGTTCTCGCTATCTTTCTGTTTCTCCGGCTCCGAGGACAGCGTGGGATTGTTCACCTCTCTTCCCGCGGCAAGACATTCCCACGTTTTCCCCAAACTGGCCGAAGCCATGCAGCTGTGCTCACGGCTGCAGTGAAAGATAAACTTTTCCAGGAACTGTCCCTGCACTGCCCTGGCATCGTATTTTTCCTTAATGGAATTCCATTTTTCTTGGCATTGTACGATTTCGTTGACCATTTCACTAACTGGAAGCACCTCTTGTCCCTCTCTTCGCCACTTGGGATTCTCCTCAGGCTCAAATTTGAAATCTCCCACAGCTGACGCCATGTTTTTGGTCGTGACGCGATACGTGTTGGCCTGAATACTAGTGCTTGCAGTAGTAATATCTTCACTGATTGTACCATGGAAACCATAGAGCAGGGAACAAAGGAAACCAACGCGTTGGTTTCCATTGCAACGGTGTAAAGTGTGTTTTTGATCCACCAATGAGCAGACTGAAAGAAAATATGAGTGATTGTTCACAATCGATTCTTTTGAAGGTCGGTCCCCATTGGGTAATGCACAAAAAACGACCACGTTCATTGTGACATGACAGGTGGTTATTTCACGAAATGGTTTATTCAGAACCTGTACACCCATGGTCCTAACAGAATACAGTTGTACATGTTTAGGCATGTGCTCATTTAGACAGAAAGCATAGAGCAATGCTCGGTACCAAATAAAACATGTTACGGTTTAACCTTAACTCCCTATAGGGGTATGCAGTGGCGTAGCCAAGGGGGGGGGGGGGGGCGACAGCCTTGTCAACCTTGTCAACCTTGTCAACCCACCGCCCCCCAGTCGCCCCCCCCCCCACTGAGATTTTGAGGTTCTAAAACAATAAGCATTGATCTTCATGACGCCCCCCCCCTCAAGAAATGTTCCAGCCCCCCCCCCCAGCCCCCCCCCCCAGCCCCCCCCCAGCCCCCCCCCAGCCCCCCCCCAGCCCCCCCCCCCAGCCCCCCCCCAGCCCCCCCCCCCCCCCCCGCAGCCCCCCCCCCCCCCCCCCCCCCCCCCACACACACCCCACACACACACTGAAAAATTCCTGGCTACGCCACTTGGGGTATGCAAAATCATATTGAAATTGGAGGATTCAGGACTGTGTTACTGTTAGGGCTATTAAATCGAACAAAATATCCTGAAAATCTTATAGACTAATTCTGCCAAAGCCGTTTCAACCACTCCCCACCCCCCCTAAAAAAATTATATATATATATTCACATCTGAATGAGATATAAAACAAAAGATCAGATTGGACAATACTCAGTAAAGCATTGATATATTTATTAGTCTCCTCGGATTTTGCCTGAGGTTCAGGCGCGGTTCTATAGCCTATATTTTTGGGGGCTAACAGGGGTGGATCCAGAAATTTGTGCAGGGAGGCGAGTGCTGAAATGTAGACCGTTTTTTTTTCTCCGGACACTTCAGTATTAGCCTCCGAAAATCAAGAAGTGGGGGGGGGGGGGGCGTACTATATTTTCAATTGGGAGCGCTGATCAAATCATACCATCATGCATACTACATTACCTAATAGTGTACAAATGCCCCCTTTCACGCCTCTGGCTGACATACATGTACGTTATTATTATCATTACAATTTTCAACAGTTATCAATATCAACGGGGGGGGGGGGGGTGACATGGGTGTTTTTTTTTTTTGGGGGGGGGGGCAATTTTTTATTGCATGTGGCGAAACACATTTCCTTGGAAGGACCAATAAATTGAAATTGAAATCATCAGGGACAATTATCATAAATGGGCGTATCTAGACTCTCGCACATGCGTGTTACTCACAACTCAGTTGGCCTACAGAGCGGGAGACCGATGTCAACAAATGCTTTCCATTATGGACATACATGTACATGTTCACTGTACATACTGTACATGGGCGTTAATCCCGCAGGGGGGATAAGGAGGATATACAATAGTTTTTAATACCAAATAAATAATACGTTGAGTAAAAGAGTGTACATGTCAATGTCATAAGTATCTTTCTTTACAAATAAAATGGCGGACGGTGAGTTCACTTCTAACAGACAATGGGCTATCCAGAGTTTTTACACGGATATCATTGATCATCATAATGGTAGTGATACATGTGAGCAAAGTTCAACTACATGTACTGTTTGTCGCTATTCACATTATGAATGCGTTGGGTCCATGTAGAAAACTTGTTTGATCGCTGAGTGCACATAAATAATTATCATACAAAATAAATCCTCGTGTTGCCTGCGATGTTATATGGGATGCCGGAGGTGTGCCCCCTTCCTCAAAAACATGAAAAGCCAAAATTCCGACTACATTCAGAAAACTGGCACGGGTTTTGCCTGATATTTAGGTCAAAGAATACGTAGGTTCCAAAATATTTTTCATCTGCCTCATTTTTGGGGGCAAAGCTATACAAAAAAGTCATGTAGGATACGTGGCGCAAAAAAAGTCATGAAAACAGCGTTGTATACATGTACATGTGTATACATTTAGAACTACATGTGTACAGGCTGTATTTCAAACATGGTCATGTATCAACAACTTTGCGTGCATTTGTTTTCAATTTCTACAAAATTGGTACAGATGTTTATCCCAAATGTTTTTGCCAACGTATTTGTCCTGAAAAAAAGATAAGCTATATTCACTGTGCAAAACATTTGTCTTTTCGTTTGCGATTTATTCATCATTCTGTGTACAATAATAATGTGTGCAATACTTTTTTTGTTATCTCAGTACAAATAAAAATCTCTGCGTATACAGTATACAAAAAAATCTCTGCGTATATAAAAAAAAAAGACACTTGTGGTTTGTTCGTTAAATTAGCTTTAAAATTACTTTACATTAAACTTTTCATTTCAAAATGTTTCAAATGTCTTCTGGAATCAGATTCAGCAAGTTACGTCATCATTGTCAGTTCTCTGGTAATGCCAGGCTTAACAAAGTTGAAAGTTTCTCTGGACACATGCAATAATTAGGAATTCTTGGTATTGGGTCTTTATACACACACTTCACGTATTATTCCTTTTAGATAAGAAGTTTACAGTTGTACAAATTGCAGTAATTCGGTTTTAGTTTTACTAAATTTTGAATCTTAAATTAAAATCCATTAATACATTTTAAAGATAATAATATACAACATTTGCTTTTGCTGTGGATTGATTTCCATTTGGAAATGGATTGATTTGAGGGTTCGTTCATTCATTCATTCAATCATTCATTAAATGGTTTATTGAATCAATCATGACTCGCAGCTAAGGACTCAATGAAACGTGATTTACAGTAACTGGGAAAAAATAATAATCCCATAAAAATACCATTATTAACATTAAAATATTAAGAAGTACCAGATAAAACTGACCCCAACAAACCCCGAATACACGACAAACACAACTAGAAAACTGCTCAGGTTACTAAATAATTATTGTTACACTGCCCTGTTTAAAGTGTTGTATTCCAGATGCTGATAAAAAAAAAAGAACAAAATGCTGTTCTTGTAGTCTGGTTCCCTGACTTTACTTCAGACGAAACAGATGATTAAAAACGTCGGAAAATTGTCGGGAAATATTCACTAATATTATTATTCGGGTTATTATTCACTAATAACACTCAAGCAAGGTTTTTTATAATAATTTGGTAGTTTTGTTTTTCGATGTTTGCAAATGTTGTACATCACATTACCTTTAACGTGTGGGCTGTTCTCTCCCACTTAAAGTGCAGACCACTTTTTGTCTCCCATTGCAATATTTTGTATATACATTTAGCACTGTATAAGTCCAATCACATTCACAGTGATGTAATACAGTGAGCCTATTACACACAGCCACATTTAAAAAAAAAAGATTTAAAAAACAATTGCAAGTTACAAATAATAATTGAGATGAAACAATTGAAGACAAGTACATGTTTTACGTGATTTTATCTAAATACATTTCTGACATAACTACATCGGTTTATCCGTGTACATTGCATCACGTCGACGTCAGTGAGAGAAAACTCTGATTGTTCAAAACATGTTCGGTTCGAGGTTTTAAAACACAATTGCTGACATTTTTATTTGGAAAAAAATCTGGATTCAAATACTTGCGAACCACATACAGATCAAGTTGTGAAGGTGAATCCATGCTTAAAATTCATGATTACACTTTTGCTGCTTTTTGAGATACAGATTGTGAGATGTATTTCCAGCAATGTTGCATCATTGTTAAATATTACAGGACTTCACTATCGCAAGGGTACCTGCACATGTTGTGCACTTGTTTTGTTTTCTAACATTTTCAATCTTATTCATTTTCTTAATCTTTTCAATGTTCGTTTAGGCTACAAGGATATAGCATATTCGGGACAGGATACAGCGCACCAACATCCGGACCACATTAATGTGGCTAAGTCGTTGTCTGCAGCCTCTCAAGGAACTCTTTCCAGCCATACCAGCTGCATTCAATGATCATGGTGACCAAGGCTCTTGGATGACGGGTGTCCGACTTCCTAGCCTCAACAAGAGCTTTCATGTAGTCATATTTGCAGGACGTGCTCCAGATGTCGTAGATTGGAGTGGGGAAAGGAGTGCACGTGGAGAGCACGCAGCTGCAAAGCAGCCGGCACAGTCTCCCGTTGCCGTCTCCAAACGGATGCAAGTCAAGCATCTCAAACACCAGCCAACCACAAGCATTGTACAGCTTACGGAGCCGTTGTGCTTTATCTTCATGTTCATCATTCTGTGTTTCTGGATTGTTTGTCTCTTGAAAGAGAGAGTTAAATTTTTCTAAAATTCTAACGACGGCAATTTGCATGTTATCTGGATTCTGATACTCATAAAGCTCTCCATCAAATTCAATGTAACGGGGCCTGGTACTGTATTCCCCCGGCTCAGTACAGCCTGGTCGTGTGGTAGCACTTTTGAGGATGGTTTCGTTAGCTCTTTTAAGCATGGGTTCCTCAATCAACCAACGGTTATAGTTGTTTCTCTGCCAGGCTTCGATGCCCCTTCGCAAGTTGTTGTAGGCCTCTTCCAAGTATGCGTTTTCTCTCCGTTTCTCCGAGGACAGCGTGGGATTGTTCACCTCTCTTCCCGCGGCAAGACATTCCCGCGTTTTCCCCAAACTGGCCGAAGCCATGCAGCTGTGCTCACGGTTGCAGTGCAATAAGTTCTCTATGAATTGTCTCGGCTGAACGGCGCAGGCATCGCGGTTTTTCTTCATGGAATTCCATTTTTCTTGGAATCCGACGATATCTGTGACCATGACACCAACTGAAGGCACCACTTGTCCCTTTCTTCGCCATGGAGGATTATCCTCGGGCTCAAAATTTAATAAATCTCCCTCAAATGATGGTTGCGATGCCATTTTCTACAGTGGTGACGAGTACGCGTTAAGGTCAATTTGCAGTTGAGCATGTGACCTTCCAAAGATCGTACAGGGGAAAGATCGGACAGGAAGTAGTTCCTCATGTGGAAGGGCGCCCCTAGCGTTGGGTAGGTACAAAAGAAGATTTCGCTCTTCACTCGTACCCCCGCCCTGCAAACAGGACGCTGGTCAGGGCTGATGTCATCTGAGCTCTCATTGGATAGATTTTGCGTGACCTGTGACGTAAAACGCGTCACACAGACTAGCTTCCGGTACCCATCATGCGTAGCGCGCACTAGCTGCATGCGAAGGTCAATCTGTACTTCCTTCACAAGATTTTGTTAAGCTTATCAGCCCTGACCAGCGTCCTGTTTGCAGGGCGGGGGGCGTAATTTTTATTCCTAGGAGGGTTAGGGGCAATGTCATGAATAATTCATGTTTATCCATGAGAACGGACAATGACATCAACAGCATTGTTGTTAGTTACTCAACTACAGTAGTTAAAATACTGTAACGACGGTGCCGGGCCGCCGGCAGAGGGCGCCAGCACGGACCCACGGTGCAACCGTAGCGTTGGGACCCCTGCTGCTGGGCCAGGAAGATCCGTTGCCAGACTGCGCCCACTCAGTAGTGTGACTTTTGTACAAATGTATAGCGTTCCTTTTGTTGTGAGTTGTATAAAGAGAGAGCCTCGTGTAAAGAAAGTGGCAAGAATAAATGGCCGTAGAGCCCCGAGACCCTGAAGAATAGTGTCTGTGGTTTCCTTCGTCTGGCGTGTGAGAACCCAGGATCCGGTCGACGTTATAGTGACATTGGTGGCAGCCGTGGCATGTCTGACGGAGGAAAAACAGATAGAATTTGGAGTGTTTTTTCGCCATGAATACACCGGGTCGAGTTAGTCTGGCGTCCGACTCGCCACGCGGCGGGTACGCACGCTGGATCAGGGCCTCGCAGAGCGTAAACCAACCTGGTGAGATGGCCAGCAAAGTGTTCGTCACGTTGGATGACTCGGAGTTGGACTTTTCAGGGTTTCGGGGAGCCAGCTAGGCCCACATGCTAAATCCCATGGAGAATCGCGTCGCACTGTGCACCACGGCGCAACAGACGCTCCGTTCCACTCGGAACACTGCCGAGTTGCGCCTGTTGATAAAGCGGGGCTGGCCGGGCTTGATCGTCCGGAGACACCCCGCATCAACACAGTTATGTACATGCCAGTTTCCGCGAGGGGCCGCCCCGTGATGTAGAGGCTGGCGCAGCAGACGTCTGGTTCCATTCGGAGCGATTCCGAGCTGTGCTGGTTGATGCAGCGGGGGCGGGTTTTCGTTCTGGGGCAACCCACAACCCCTACGCTCATGAAAATAGTGCTAGGCCCCACATGGAAGCACCACTCGGTGCTTACATGGATACGACTGGTGCGGCCTCCCATTCGGGGCGCCCCCAGGCTGGATTTGCCCATATACCGGCATTACCGGGGGCGGGAAACCGTCCGAGCGCGCCTCAGGCGGCACGACCGGGAGTGGATCTCCCCCAGCAATACGGGTACACACCGGTAAATCGATCCGCCAAGCTCATGAATAAAAGTTATACCCTCAAAATATTCTATATTAGAGAGTTCTGAGCGCCGTAAAATTGGGGAATTGAAGAGATATGGTAGTGAACCTCTGGCCCGGACTTGGGGCTTCCAATTCTGAGCATTTTGGATGATATTGGGCTCGAAAGTGGCGCTATTTTGCCATGTTGTGGAGGGATCGTTTTTCAAGATGGCTACTTTTCCGCTTTGGGGAAAATAGGGGTCGTCTTCTTTGCGTGATAATATCTCGAAAAGTCAATGGTCAACCCACCATAAATTGAAAAGAAATTGAAAGATGACACATTGATCATCATTTTTCTGTGCAGCTTGAATACCTGTGGGAGTTTTGAGTATTTTTAAAAGAATTTTGAAGTATGGGCATTTAGCACTAGTGTCTATGGGAGTTTATTTGCAGGTATGCACCCGTACGTTCATCCCCACTATCGCAGTATGGCGAGTCCTGACCTCCCTCGGAGCAGGCTCGCACTGCACGACTCTATGGGACGGGACCAGTGGACTTGCTCCGCGCACGAGTCAATAGGGTGGAGCCCGTGGAGTTGCTCCGCACACGAGTCAATGGAGCGGAGCCGGCGAGGTTGCTCCGCACGGGACCCCGAGTCTATGAAGCGGAGCCGATGGAGTTGCTCCGCACGGGAGTCAATGGAGCGGAACCGGCGAGGTTGCTCCGCATTGGAGTCTATGGAGCGGAGCCGATGGAGTTGCTCCGCACGGGAGTCAATGGAGTGGAGCCGACAGAGTTGCTCCGCACAGGAGTCAATGGAGAGGAGACCCCGGGGTGGGCCCAGAGGAGAACCCAGAGGTGATCCCAGATCCAAGAGGAAAACCCAGAGGTGACCCCGGAGGAGACCACAGAGGAGACCAGGAGACCCAAGCGGATACCCCAGCGGAGGCGCCGCCTTGTTTGGGGACGAACAAGGGTCCTCGGAGGGGGCTGTGTAACGGCGGTGCCGGGCCGCCGGCAGAGGGCGCCAGCACGGACCCACGGTGCAACCGTAGCGATGGGACCCCTGCTGCTGAGCCAGGGAGACCCGTTGCCAGACTGCGCCGACTCAGTAGTGTGACTTTTGTATGGCGTTCCTTTTGTTGTGAGTTGTATAAAGACAGAGCCTCGTGTAAAGAAAGTGGCAAGAATAAATGGCCGTAGAGCCCCGAGACCCTGAGAATAGTGTCTGTGGTTTCCTTCGTCTGGCGTGTGAGAACCCCAGAATCGTTCTACGTTACAATACATTAAAGCATTTTAAAGAACGGTTGTCGCCACACAGTAGCCTAGTGGATAGTGAGATGAGCTATGGATACAAAGATCCCTGGTTCGAATCCACGTCGTCACTGCTCATTTTCATCAGCTATTTTTCTTCTCCAAATTTATCACTGAGATAATTTTAAATTAAGGGGAAAATAGAACGAGAACCTAAGTCTTGCAATGATTCAAAGGAGAAACTGAATTATTCATGACATTGCCCCTAACCCTCTTAGGACAAAAAATTACGCGGGATGTACCAGCGAAGATTTCGCTCGTACCTCCCCCCCCCCTCCCCCCCCCCCCCCCCCCCCCCCCCCCCCCCCCCACCCTGCAAACAGGACGCTGGGATACTCGGATGGGCTTCACATAATCTTGTGAAGGAAGTGGCCTATGACCTATGTATAAAGCATCTGGCTGTAGCTATTCAAGACCGCAGTTAGACAATGTGCGCAAATGCTATCCGAAAACTTCTCAAAGAATTGCGCACATTCCACATCGGATGTGATTTCTGTTTCATTGCGGACCATGTGGACAAAACTTTGAGCGTCTCTTAGTGCAATTATTGGCGGAATTAGATTGTAACATTTTAACTTCGAAAACAATCGTGTTTCATAACTAACGACGCGAATTGGTTCTGTTTTTACCCCAGACACCGCATACAAAGGAAAAACAAACGCTAATGCAACGCACATGTAGGCACCAGACTATTCCTCATTTGCATACGACGTGTTCAAAAATCTTGCACATGCAAATGATCCAGTACTAGGGTGAGAGAGCAGGTAGTGATGGGCGCGTACTGCTCGACATCCTGGGGACAAGGTTGCCGCCGCCCTGCAAACAGGACGCTTGGTTACTCTCAGACTGGATAGGACATCGCGTACGAACGTGCGTCCGCGCGCGCGTTTTTTGAAAAGGGTAAAGAACACAAATTCGCATTTGAATTGTGTACACTTTCGAACGGAGGATTCAAAAATGAAGTTGGCTTTTCTTCGGTTTCTTTGTCATTTTTGAAAGAATAAAAGAAACAGAGATCTAAATTGATCAAAATCGACGAGTAGTACAGTCAAGGTGTGCGCAGCATTAGATTGCTGGAGTCGGGAAGTAAGGAGCGTTGAAGAATAGGACAATTATTCGCAAGTAAGTTGTTTTTTTAACGAGGCCTATACAACATGGCATGGAGGAATATGAACATGGGAACGACAAAGCAAATTATAATATCGTTAATGTCGCTGTGAGTTTGAGGGGATGGAGGCCTGTGTGGTAGCTATAGCGAGATATTCTGTTCAAATTCCATAAGTCTAGGCCTGTCAGTGTCATGCTGGTCGGCATCATTTTTCTTTAAAAGACATAGGCCTAAACGTGCATGACTGACCCGGCAATGGCAATGGCAATGAACAAAAGTTGACTTGTTTAAAATAGTTTATTCAAATAACTTTTATAACTTTTATATGCAAAATCTGATTGAATTATGTCTGCCTTAAACGCCTACCGAAATGTTTCTATTCTTTATAAAGAGGAACCGAGGAGGTGGTTTATGCTAAATTACTGCACAACCGGCCGATTGACCTTCATATCAAACAAAGAACTTCAGCAAAGCCATAGCAAAAACTACCAGCTGCAGGACGATTTCCGAGACGGACGAAAATGGAGAACTTCACGGAGGGATGGAATCGAATACCGTATATCATCCACTGAATGGAACATGCGATGTGATGGGCATCTGAGAGTTTGACTTAATCTATTCTTTATGTAAACCTGTTAAGATTGATTGATTTTTCTTTTTGGAAAGAAGCTGTGGGGTTAAACGCAAGTATTTTTGTGAGCTCCAAGATGACTGACACATTTATATTGACAGTTTGTATGGTGAAGAAAGCAATGAGTACTTTTACGGTTTGAAATTATATTGTGTACGCCGTTATATAAGATTATTAGTTATAGCCATTAATACACCGTCATATTCGCTCACAAAAACGATTCCCATTATACTTACAAGTAATTATATTTATTTTCAGAAGTATAGCTAAACATTTAATTATAAAACAAGACCGTGCGTAGCTTAAATTATTCTTTGACAAAAATATAATTTTGCTTTGTGATTCATCTCCTTTCACACAATATCACAAGAGGTGAACGATGTCATTCCCTGATCAATCTAGGGACGGGAAGAAG